CCTGCAGTTTCTGCTCTGAACACAGTAAACCACCTGCACTTGCAGAAAACTGCAATACAGGGAAGGACATTAATTTGCAAATAATTCTAATGGAAAAAAGAACTGACTTGTGGAAAGAAAAGTGAAATAGAGTAGTACCTTTTTTGTTCCCCAATTCTCAGCTATGGGTTGCTGTATAAAGTGTATGACATGACATTTACCTGAAAACTTTTTGCCTCATTCTTTTCTTCTATGGATAAATTTGCAAAATCTATTTCAGCAATACTGATGTCACTGGTGCTTACTAACGTAAGTTCTGGTTCTTCCATTATACCATGGCCAGACTCTGTCTCCTGTGCAGTAAAATTAAAAAGAAAACCATATCCAAACATGTAATACCTTAATAAAAAAAACAATGCCAAAAAGTAATAGCTTTAAACGTTCAATAAGTGAAAATGTACGTTCTGGAGTAAGAACCACAACATGGCACTGCACCCCTACTTTCAAATACCGGAGAGATACCTTGACGGGTTTGGCTCGGTGGATAGAGCAGTGGCCTGCAGACTGAAGGGTCCCGGGTTTGATTCCAGTCAAGGGCATGTACCTTGGTTGCGGGCACATCCCCAGTAGGGGGTGTGCAAGAGGCAGCTGATAAATGTTTCTAGCTCAATCCCCCTCCCTTTGTAAAACAATAACATATTTTTAAAAATTGCAATAATGTGATAATTGTTTGAAAATATCTTCTGCAAGGATTACAGGGCTAGGCCGATGAGTACAGATTAATGGGGAACAGAGGATATAGCCTGTCTAAAGGGAGTAGCGCTAATGGGTTTAAGCCAAATGTAGGCCCCTGCTGTCAGATTAATTTCTTAAGGGAAATACCATCCTTTAAACACCAAACAAGAATTTACAAAGAAAATCCAAAAGCCAAATCATGTCTGTGGTCTAGATGTTGACAAGCAATACTATAGTCAGGTGATGAGTTGAAACAAAATAGATTACTGCAGCAATTTTCAACTGGTGCGCTGCGGCTATTTAGTCGGGCACTGACCTCTTTTCCCTTACAGAGAGCCAAATAAAAAATGACAGCCAATGCACAACCAGCCATCTGGTGTGAATCTAAATCATACCTTTTTTTTTTTTATCAGATCCACAAAAAATAATTTTTTTGGTGTGCCTTAGAATTTTAGTAATTATGTGTGCCATGAGATGGAAAAGGTTGAAAAATCACTGGATTAACTCAATGCAGTGCAATGGGGTCGAACACAAAGTGCTGAAGCATGGGGCCGGCCACCATTCCTCAGTGAAGCTGAGAAAAGGGATATGTGAATTGGAAGGAAAATCTAATAAAATTCAGAGATCTCCAAAATTGGAGATTTATGATTACAAAATTGGTTATCAGGTATATTAACAAGTAGCTTTGTTGTTTCTCTTGAAATTTGTTTCAAAAGTCCCCCTGGGTTTGGACTTTTATGCTGTTGAATTTTTTCTGTTGAATATTATTTTGCCCTTTTCTGCCTGTGACTGAATTAAAATTATTTTCTGTTTTCATATTTTAATTGCTGATTTGGAAACTTTTATTTTCACGCTTAATAATTACTCAAATTATAACATGCATACATACACACACACAATGAGTGGCCAGGTTATTATGACCACCCCATGAGTACTTCATTGACACTTCCAAAAATACTGAATATTGAAAACTTCCTAAGCAAATACTCTCAAGGTTTTATTATTCTTTGCATAACTAATTCACTTCATTGTACTGATGGAGTGGTCATAATAATCTGGCCACTCAGTGTGTGTGTGTGTGTATACAGTGGAACATTATTCACCCACAAAAAAGAAAACCCTGCCATTTGTGACAACATGGATGGCCCTGAAGGGCATTATGTTAAGTAAAATAAGTCAGTATTCTTTGCATAACTAATTCACTTCATTGTACTGATGGGGTGGTCATAATAATCTGGCCACTCAGTATATAATGTTTGTGTGTACATTTTTGGCCAGTATCTTAACAAAATAATACAAATATTAGTTTTAAAAAAATATTGGAAAAGCATTCTAAATGCCATTTATACAATTTAGACTTCACTTACCCAGACTGGAATAGAGCTCTGTTGTAGAAATGATCCAGAAGTGGAAAACAACTCTGATTGTGATGGCTGAGATAGGTTTGGTATGATTGTTGGAGTTTCTGCTTTAATAGAATTCTCAAAATACTTTTCATTCTGAATAGTATGTGGTATCTGAACTGAAGTTCCCATCTCCACTGTTCTTACACATAATTGTGAGTCAATTTCCTGTACATCTGGATTTACACTTAAAACTCCACAGGTTTCATTTTTATCCTCTTCAGTGAGTCCTTGACTGTGTAACACTTTATCAGCCCCTCTTTCTGGTAGTTCTTCAAAGCCCAGTCCTCCTTTTTGGCCTTCTAATTGGTCTTTCACTGAGCACTCACTAGAGGTAGAACCACATGGAGTGCTATGTGGTATATTTAATTGATGAAATACATTAGCCTCAGCAGATGAACTAAAGACTGAACTTTTCAAATTTCCTACAGAGAGCTGGAAATGAACATTTCCCCCCTTATTTTGTAATATTTCAGTCGGTTCAGAGGAGTACTGATTTTCCATGCCTTGGGAAGAATCTCTTGCTTCAATGCTAAAAATACTTGGTAGGTCAGCATGCTGGCTCCCCTCCTGTGAAGAAATTTCTGGCAGAAGCTGTTGAAAAGATTGTTCAGATCCTACAATAAGAAGTTTAAGAGATCAGTAAATCATCATGTTATAAAACTTGGGTAGAGATATAGTCCCTAATACTTTGCCTCAATTGCAAAGGTTAGTTCCTATAATTTTAGGAAAGTTGATATAAATAAACATGAATAGAAAGCTAAAGGATGGTCACAGTGACCTTGAAATAACTACTGCTCACACCACCATGTATTTTCTATTTTAATATTTTTTAAAAATATAACTATTCGACACAAATTTTCCCTCATAAAAGGACAAAATATTAATTTTGTTATAACAGGTAAAATGTGCATGTGTATCTTAATGTATTCATGTGTACATAAAACTTGTGCAAAAAGTTTTAGAAGGGGAAGATGGCTGTCTCGGAGAAACCCAGATGGCGGCATAGGTAAACACCAGAAATTGCTGCCGCGCACAACCACTTCAGAATACAACTAAAAGACAAAACGGACATCATCCAGAACCGCAGGAAGGCTGGCTGAGTGGAAATTCTACAACTAGAAGGAAAGAGAAAAGCACATTGAGTCTGGTAGGAGGCACAGAGGTGTGGAAGTGTGGAGGTATGGAGGTGCACATGAAAGGGACTAGTTCTAGGTGAGTCTCTGGGGACCCAGACTCCTACGGGAGAAACTGGACTACCTGGCATCAAGCAGAACTCAAGGGCGGCTTTCTCTCAGAGGGGCTTGCAGCGATTATCGCATGACACTGAGACCCGGGGCCCCTTAGTGCAGGACTGAGGATCAGCCATAGTTGTTTGCTCCTCCCTGTTGATTCCCTGAGACCCAGACCCACCCAAATTGTACACAGATGCTTTTGTATATGAATGGCCTGGCCCTTTGCAATCTAAAATTACCTAAGATGCCCAAGGCCCCACAGCAGCTTGCATTGCTTCACAGCTGGGCCTCATCTGGGCATCTCCAAATCCCAAACGAAGAAGAATCTGCAGATCTCACCCTAGCTCCTGCTGGGTAGCCTTAGGCAGAGGCTA